TATATATATATATATATATATATAAAAATCTCTTGTTCATTAGAGGTTACCTAACAATGAAACTAAAATTGCTTGTTGTCAAAAAAGTCATTTAATACTGATCTCAATAAAGCTGATAGTGAAATACTTATCCAACTAGCCCAAATTTCCACATATGTATATTTTAATAACAGTGTTCCTCATGGATTTGTTTAATAACAATAAAGTTAATGATTATAATGTAATTTGATGTCTCCTGTTATTAACTATTTATTTCATTTCAAAAATCACAGGAAGTGTTCACCAAAAAGCATTTCCTTTAAAAAATGCAGTAATAAAAAATATAAAACAACAACAATATAAACCCCTTAATTAAAGACATTCATACAAAATGAGCATAAATGAATACCTGAACTCCATTAATTCAATAAAAGAACTAATTGAGCTGAAGACATACCTTTAAGCAAGCCACATGTTTAACTCATTCTCATCCACCACACAGCAGTGAATTCAACCTGGAAACATGAAAAAAAATGTCATCTCTCTCTTTCACTAACTTCAAGCTCTACTACTTTCACTGAATGTAGCTTCCTGCCAATATTCAGCAGTGCAACAAAAATTGCTCTAAAATGTAACAATTAAACAAAATTGTAAAATAATTTTTGTATTTCACACTGAAGAGAAACTCACTATTAATATATACTTGCTTGAGCTGTTTCATTCATTGCATGACTTAAGGTACAACGAAACTATTTTTTATAAATTACATAATTTCACATTCAAAAAATTAGTTGAAATCTCCAACAAAAGAAGAAAGAAATTCTATCTCATTCAATAAAATTAAAAGAAAATCCAATTCATAGCAGAGAAAGTATTGATAAATTGACATTGTAAATGTTAAAGCAAACCCCAGATCCAAGCTCTTCAAGAGTTGTTACAACACTTATTTTCTTAAACATTTGCTCTGCTAATCTAAGTGTGAATGTGTCAAAAATATTGTAAGTAGTTAGATCCATAGATGTTACTTGGCATAAGAAAATCAGATTTATGGAATACTTTGTCCTAACTGAATGAAACAACATAACATAAAATGAAAAGAAATGAACACTTTCAACATCATTAGAAATAATTACAGCACACTCAATACCAACCCATTCAGTATGGTTTGCACAGCATAAAGCCAAGTAGCAAAGTACGGATCTTACATCAAATAAGTTCTCTTGCATTGTACAGGTAGATTGATAAATAAGATTGTCACTTTACCACAGCCTGTATATGTGATGTATAAATGTAAGTAGATTGAGTATGTGTATAAATGTGAGTTAATGTATTCAAATTGTGTTGTAAATACTTGTAAATATTTTCCTATCTGCATAGTCTATTTTCATATAAATGTCAGCCCACAGCAAACATTTAACAAAACGTGAACTAGCTGTCCAGGCAAATGTCAATCCATTATGTCAATGTAATGATGGATAATAAAACTGATGAACTGTACCTTAACTTTGTGTTATTTCTCTCTGATGCCATACGCACCTGACTTCACAGTTGTTATAGCAGGCCCCATGAACCTAGCTACACTGTCTGTCAGGCACATAGCAGACTTAGATGACACATGTAATTGAAGATCTTTGCATGGGAAGGTTTTCTGGCACAAGACAAACTGAAAATTGCTTTCTTGGAGTGTTAATATGCACTGCAGAAATTTAACTCTGCTTTAGGAATCAAAAAATAAAATCTTGAGACAAGATGAATACATATCTAAGAGGTGAAAAATCAAGATTAACAGATATAGCTCAGAGGCCTGAGCATTTAAGACAATACTTCCCTGTTTACACTTGAAAGTAGCATGAAAGCTTTAGATACTCTACCTTTGGCAAAAAGAATTGGCGCTCCCATGTAACATGTCCACAAGCAGGAAGAAAACTACACTGTACTGGGTGTCATGGAGCAGCTTTCACATGAAATCTTGCTACTTCATTGCAGTGAAAGGAGTCAAAAAAAGCATCCTGCAAATCTAGGTGAGCAAGGGTTTTGACAACAGCATCAACCCAAACGCTAGCAATGCTAAAGCAGAGAAATATTATAAATAGCTCAATACAGAGGAGCATATTCGTGCGAGAAGAGAAGAAAAATTGTATTCATGTTTTTGAACAATCATAATTAATTCTTCTAACATACAAACACCATTGGTGAATACATTTATGATTGTGAACTTTTTCTCCACGTTTGTGAAGTAAAGATAATAGAAGCAATAATAGAGAAGATTCTAAAATCAAAACGAAGACGTTTTTACTAATCAAGTGCACATATTATAGGCTTTTAGACAAAAAGCATTGTGCCAAAATCAATTAACTGGTAAACAAGAATGGAAATTTGAAACATTTACTTCCATTCCAATGAAGTGTAATACACATAAGAAGTCAAGAAGGTGAATATCATAATATTGATAAATGAGTTTATTAACATTATCAATTGTGAATTTTAAAACGGAAGAATTCTCTCTAAAGAATTCATAGAAATATCTACATCTTACTGCTTTGTCCACCTAAATATTGAAAGTGGCCACATTGTTCTGTCTTGCCATTCCTAAAGCCAGCAAGAGAACAACTGCATTTCTGTATAAAGAAATAATACAATTTTTGATGTATATATGAAAAGGAAATAAGAGGAAGTAAGGTTTTAAGAAGAATAAGAATACCCTACCTTCAGAGGCAATGAATCACTGATTCTGATGTTGCTGGGAAAGAGAATAGCTGCAACATTAAGTTAGCAAATGTTCTTTCATGGAGATTATAGAAATTATGACCAGCAAGCACAATTTGCTCACGAGTCTTTAAGGATTTTACCAATTACTTCCAAGTTTTGTCAATTTTCAATGCACATAAAAATCCATCTGCTCAACTTCACTCGCTGAAGAAATTAAAATAGAACACTTGTGTATCCTAATCTTTAGAAGAAAGTTTCCAAAATCTTCAGTTTCGAACATTCACCACAAGTTCTTGATAATTTCACAACACTTCCTGGTATTAAGATAATATGAGCACTTCAGCATCACTCTTCATTATTGTGCACTAATAAGATTACTGAAGTTGAATACAATTTATGAAATCATTTGTTCACCCAATGAAAATCTTATTTTCAAAAGCTAAAACATTAGTTGACCACTGAAAAAATTATTAATTGAAATAACTAGAGAAATAATGAACCATCACTATGACTGATAGAATTTTTCCATTCTTAAGATGATGAATTTTCAATGCATGTGCAAAAATGTACACTGTGAACAGAATGATTGCTTCAGAAATATTAAACATTTCTGAAAGAATTGTATGATGGTGAATGATCATTTCTGACATACTTTTGAAGAATTCACTTCTTGCACAGGGTTGCAAGCAGTCAAGAAGTGGATCAATTGTTACTTCAGGTAAGACAAACATTACACACAAGGGAAGCAACTTTTTCTGTTCTTTCACAGACAGATGGAACACTTTTCATGGCAAGATAAACATTCTTAAGTTCTTACTCTTCTATTATGGAAAAAGAATATAAATAATTCAACTGTGTTCAATAATGTAAATAATGAGTTCATCCACAAAATATATCAATGCAGTTAGCAAATTTTTAAAAGGAAGAAAGACCAATTACTGATTCTTTTTGAGAAATTACAATGAAATAATTGAAAATAAAATAGCATGTCCCAAATATTTCTCATAATTTGTATACTAAATCAACCTAGCAATCACACACTATTTTGAATTGCCATGAAGAGTTAATGGCAAGAAAAGTCTGAATAGAACACTTAAAACATTCTTACAATTCAGTTACTTTACTATGCAAGCAAGCGTCATTTCAACATCACACAATGTTGTTGGTAAAAAAAAAAAAAAAAAAAAAAAAAAAAAAAAAAAAAATCCTGTAGTCAATTTCTCAAATTTTTCTGTAATAAAGCCAGATAATTGCACCTCAGAATAAATTTAAAACGCATTATGGATAAAGCCTTTCTTTCTCCATTTCCAATCAATAGCAAAAAACTTGTATAACAAGTAAAATTGAGAGCCAAACAACTTTTATGCTCTAAAATAAGAACCAAGTTGTAAAAATTCAAATTAGAAAATATTCTGAATTATTTTACAACCAAAGTAGTGATCCTCTTGAATATGTCCAAAAGAAGTAATAAAGTTTATGCACAATTAAAGAGCATTATACAACATCAGCTCTTTCTGCAGCCGTCTCTTTTCACATGATGCCAATATGGAGCCTTGAGAGATGATTTATCTTCATTAGAAAATTCTAATGACTGGTTTTCACAAAATGTTGATCTGGAGCATAACTTGCAAAAAAGCACAACTTATATGTACTCTTATGATTACAAGTGCAACATGTGCTGAAAAATTGTAGAAACAATTTTGCAGAACTCTGTTGCTAACTGACTTGACTTCAGAGGCAGATCCTTCATATGATTATTTTTATGATGGAAGAAGCAATACTTGATGATCTATGATAAAAAACAATTTTTTTCAAAAAAATAAACTTTACTCATTAATATATATATATGTATATTAACCTGAAGTCTGAAACAGCTTTTGGTTAAGGTAAAATTTCTTCATACTTTGGAAAATCTATAAAATAAAGAAGAAGGGCATTTACCTCTGATGCTTAATAGCATCAGAATAAAGGAATGGTCAGAGACAAGCCAGATGTGTTGGGAATAAGGCCCATAGGCAAATGAAGTATCATGACAAACATCAATATTAAAAACCTTGAGAGGAATTTTATTGCAAATTAAATGAATGAACAGCTACAAGTACATAAAGTTGTAAGATTCATGAAGTGTTATATATCTAGCACATTTCGCCTCAAATCCAGTTCAGTGTCCTTAGAACTTGACCTGTTTTTGCACTGACCCTCCTCACTGCTGGCACCTCTGGCATCTTGCCCCGAATCCGCCTCTATATCCAAGACTGGGACGTGGCTTCAGTAATACAGCCTATTAAAGCTGTCGCTGGTGAACAACATTGATGAAGAGTTCAAGAATCATGGACACAAACAGAAGACAAGTAGAAAGATGATCATATTAACCACTAGCTTCCGCTCAAATATTGAGGGAAACAATGCAAACTACAAGAAAATAAAGAATACTAAACGATCATAAATACTATATCATCACACTACTTAGTACAGCTATACATTAATAGTGTATCTTAGAACAAAAAAAAAAAACCTTTCAAATTCCCTAAACTGAGGGAAAGAAAAGGTAATAATATGAAACAGGAATGCTGACTGGATTCAGTAATGCTTGCAGAAAGCAAAAATAGAAAGCATATTATTTGTTTTCAAACTACTTTCTACACAGTTCAGCAGGATAAAGAGACCTTCCCTGAAACAACATGCAGTGGAACCACCATATAAAACAGCATGTCAAATTTTAATCCAAAATAAATGGTACAAGATATTCTTCCATTTATGATGTCACTTTTCAAGCGACAATATTCCAATCAGCCTCCTCACACCAATATATCACAAAGTGCATCATATGTGAACAAATGAAAATTCTACCTCTATTTTTCTCTTCACACAAACAAGTACACTTGACACAACTTTTCAACATTTAATTCATAACACATGGATTACTGATGTTTGTGGCAGAATGACTAATCATAAGGAGCCAAAATGCAAGGACAATTCAACCTCACATTTGCTGGAAGAAGTATTGATGGTCATAAGATTGTGACAAATGCATGCTAAATACCCTTCACAATAATCCATTTTTTCACAAAGTACAGTATTTTTTATTTACCCAAAAGGGAAATACAATCGGGATTAGCTATGTTTTTGAACTAAAACCTTTAAGAAAACAACTCTAAGCTTAAAGGTAGGCATGATATGCAAGAATCATTATCACACTTTGAATGGAAATTTTTGAGGGAGCATATAATAGGTGGACATTGCTTGAGCGAAGTGCTTCAACTACCCTAATTATACTGATGTTCGTATTCGCTAAGTCATCTCAGAAGTGGCCTATAATATGAGTTTTCAAGTTGTGCAGCAAGTCGCAACCTTAGATATATTATTGTTTCACAGAAACGAATTTTTAGTAAGGTTTCTTGAATTTGCAGTGTAAATGATCACCTATTAATACCTTTGTTTTCCTCTAAAGAATTTCTCTAATAATTCTTGTGGTTCCCATTATCAAAGCTATATAATTTTAGTAAAATGACTATTATTGTTATTATTATTATTATTGATGCACACAACCTAACTAATAAAGCCATGATCAGCTAATTAATAGGAGACTGTCTGAAAACATTAAATCAATGGAAGGTATTAAACTTAAGAATATAGCACAGTTTATGAATTGCTGGAAGGTGAGGAAAATTAATGTCGCATAAAGACAGAATTCCATTCTAAAAAAGATTCTCTACATTGTATAGTCTACATATGTTTTATTCATTTGTTCATATTTTATTCCTAATAATTTTATTATTTATTAGCAACTAATGTCTGTACTGGTAATACACAGAAATATGGGAAAATGTTGAGTAGTTTTAAGTTTTAAATGCTTAGTGGTGTTTGAAAGTTAAAATAATAATACAGATTATATTCACGTCTGCAGTTACATCCTCTGTTTAAAAAAAAAAAAAAAAAAAAAAAAAAAAAAAAAAAAATAAATCAAAATCTTAACCCTAAATTCTACTAACCCTAGTATTCCTGGCGTTTTCGCAAAACACTGCACTGATTGCATTATGTTATTCTACGACTGTTCTTGGAATAAAGTTTTAATCTGATTCCAAGTGAAGATTAAGTTATAATCATCTTTCTATAATCATCTGTTTTATTACAACTGCATTTTCCTTGTTGCAGTTTAAGTGTTAATTTGGTATTTTTATTCTGTGCAGCATTCTTTGAGACAATGTCTCAAAAACGGTAAGTAAAATGGGAAATAATTGTCTTGAAATAATAAGTCTAGTACTGATATAGAAAAAAATACCGCAACTGCAGAAATACAGATATATATTATGGAATATGCTAAGCTAAACAAAAGATATTCTAGAGATTGGACAAAAATTATTTACCTCAGGAATATGTAATGAAAAATAAAATGGATTGTAAAAACTGTTTTTAGGGATCCACAGATATGTGATCGCCCTTTTAATCCCTTCGAGTCGTTTGGGTTATTTTTTCCTGATTTGATAGAGCATGCAGTGAAGCAAATTATATATGCAGTACAAAAAGATAAATCTCACTTCCAATTATCGGCTGAAGACATGAAAACCTTTTTGGGAATTATTTTAGTAAATGGTTACAATGCCCTGCCTAGGCGTTGGCTGTATGGGAAGAATCACCTGATGCAAATAAAAGTGCAATAACTAATGCTCTAAGACGAACTAGGTTTTGGAAATAATGAGATTTTTGCATTTCAATGCCAATCAGACTCCTTACCAAAATGACAGATTATCAAAATTGCGACCTTACCTGGAATTTTTGAAAAATGCTTTTTTGGAATTTCAGTTTGGGAAGAACAGATTGCACAAGAGATGATCCCATATTACAATCGCCAACACCCTAAAACAATACATCACGGGCAAACCTATTCCCTTTGGCAACAAGGCATGGTGAATGAATTTCAGATTAGGATATTTGATTTTGAAATTTATCAAGGAGCCAAAAGAAAGTAGAACAAATCTGACTAGAGTCTTAGTGGTTCCGTGCTATTGCAGTTTGTTGAAAAATGCCTCGTTCAAGGAATGAATACCTACCTCATCACATTTTTGCTGAAAATTATTTAATTTCCTTTCAAGTTGTTGACTTTCACTGAACTAGGTTTAGGATTAACAGGAACAATTGAAAGAAATTGTCTGGATCTATGTCCCTTGACCAAAGCCACACAAATAAAAACACAAACCTGCAGAAAATCTGATATGTGCATGCAAAGCACTACCCAAATTGGTATGAAGATGGAATGACTATTCCATCAGTCACTGGTGTCCAAGTGCAATGGTGTGGAACCTGTCTCCATAACCTCTCGTTACTCGTTTTGAAGAAAAAGATGCACATCACTCAGCCAGATAGTGTCAGTGCGGACAACGCCAACATGGGAGGTACTGATCGCATGGATCAGAACATCTCTACTTACAGGTCTAATATTTGATCTAGAAAGTGGAGGTGGCCAATCTTTCTCTGGGGATCGATGTTATGCAAAGTGCCTGGATTTCAACCAGATCTGCTGAAATATCTAATAATATGGCCCATGATTTATTGGAATTCAGAAGGAAAATGGCTATGAAATTGATTCCAGGTTGGAGTTGATTTGGCCAACCAAGAAGCAAGACAGGCCCTGTAAAGACTTTCAAGCAGACTTTCTCTTGGTACTAGGTTTGACAATGTTGGGCACTACATTGTCTCAAAAGAAAAGATGACGAGATATGTAGTATGTAAATCAGTTACCATAAAAATGTGCATCAAATGTTAAGTTGCACTACCAGAAAAATTTTCCATGGATTCCACAAATTAAAATTATTTATTTTCAGACTATGATATTTGTTGTAAAAGAACTGATTTGAACTATACTACTTACAAAATGTTTAAAGCATAAATAGATCATTTTGAATTCATTGTTTCATATTTCTCTTACTTAAACAATACTTGCATTCAATAAAATATGTCTTGAAAATCCAATGAATTATTTCACCCCCTTGGGCCTAGTTTACGTTGCGTTTTTGCAACAATTTCTCACCTATAAATAGTCAAATTTCAATACAGTATTTATATATTATAAATTAGAGATTGTTACGTAGAAATTAGAGAACTTCACTGCTGCATAGTCTACATCCTCCTAAACCCACAAAAGCGAAGTTTTCTGCAGAAAGAAAAAGTATGTGTGTCACATATGTACCACTATTGGCTGAAAACCCGGAAACCATCACTGTTTCGTCACCACTGGCTCAAACCACCAGTATTTTAAATAGATTTACAAGTGAGGAAAAATGTAGAAAACTAGCTAAATTTCTTGCGATTTTGGTTCTGGTTTAACTTTTCACTAGTTTTGGTTTATTGATTACAAAACTCATGATAGTTTCAGTTTCCCATAAAGAAGATTTTCTTGCCTACAAATCTACATTAAAAACCTACACAAACATTGCAAACAAACCAACAGCGAACTGATTTCAAAAATAAAACTTCACAATTTAATGCAATACAAGGGGACATCTTTCAATGAAATCTCACTTGACCTAGCCATTGAACAATTTTTTAAATTAAATAACTATATTCAGCATTTATATAAAACAAACATTTCTAGAATTTTCAATATCTTAGGGTACTTTGAAATGATCATTTAGAGAAACTTTCCAGATTACCATACGCCATGTCAAACTGCCACATCCAACAGTTGTATCACAATAATTTACAAATAATATTTACTCCCTGTTCATTGATAAATTCATAACTAGGGCATTTTTTCTCACATTATAAACAACAAACAGCACAAGTTGCCTGAATAAAGATTTCACTGAAGAAACAACCACTTCACTCAATAAATGTCAAATAGTTTATAACACGATAGGCTTTTTTAAAAGAAACTTTTCTCCCACTAACCCATAGATATGCAGAAGCAGACAGTTGATGTATTCAGAAGTACTCTCTGAAGAATGTACTTTCAAATCAAATAGTTTCTTTTTTTTCACCTAGTGACTTACATTAAAAAATCCTTTCCCTTACCACTATCACAAAGCCACCAATTACAAAGTGAAGGAAAAATAAGGTAAAAGAACAAATTGAAAAAAAGAGTTGTTTGCAGTTGGCAATGTCTCCAACTGCAATTGTCAAACTGTCAATTGAGAACACCATTTTTTTTTTAATTTACAACAAAGGGCAAAATATCAAATGCTTTCTCTATTTACATCAAAAATTAAAAAATCTAAGTGTATATAAAATTATATTCATATACACTCGTCTTTTTTAAGTTCCTGTTTCACACACACACACATTGTCAGTTCAGTAATAAGCAAAAACACTCCCTCAGTGACAACTAGGTATGATAGCTTCAGAGCTTACATTCCATCTCTCAACATCCCTGTTATATAAAGGTTCCACTGCACTTCCACTGTATTTAAATGACCACTTATGAAGGATTCCATGAGAACAAAATGAAAGGAACAGGTGAAGCTCAACTCTTGCGAGTTGAGGTCCCCAGGACACAGGCACAATGGCGGAGAGAAGTAACGGAAGACATGCATACAAACAACACAAAAGAGCTACCCAGTGCGTGGGCTCGCCGAACCGAGCCGGACCGCGCCGAACCGAGCCACGCCAGTGCTCGGGCTCGCATCACAAGTTGTTCCGAGCCGACGGGCAGGGCGGGGCAGGGCTAGCCGGCAGGCAGGCGAGGCAAGCGGGTCGTTGCAGGGGAGGTCTCGGAGAGCCGCGTGGACCACGGCGGTGGTCCGGCGCGCGCAGGGGGGGCGGGGCCCGCAGCCGTCCGCTGCCGCCTACCTGCGGCGGTGGCCGCGGCCGCGACCGCGTCCCAGGCCTCGGCCCATCCCGCGCCGGTTCGCCTGTTGGCCCCCGCCGCTGAACTTCTTGTCGGTGTCTCCCTTGCTGGGGGAGGACGAGGCGGAGGCGGGCGCGGGCACGGGCTCCGGCTCGTCCTCCGCGTCCATGGCGTCCTCTTCGCCCGGCGCCGCCTTGTCGCCCTTGTCGGCCTCCTCCTCGTCAGCGGCCTCGTCGCCGCCCTCGTCCTGGCCCTCGGCAGCATCCTCGCCTGCCACGCCGTTAGTGGCCGGCTCCGCGCCGCCGCCTGCCGTCTGCGCCTCTTCGGGCTCGTCTCTGCCGGCATCCGAGTCGCGCTCCTCGCTCTTGCCGTCGTTCTCCGTGGTGGAATCAGCGCCCTGCTCTTGCGCTCCCTTCGCGTCGCCCTTGGCGGCCTCCGCTTCGCCCGCGGCGCCCTTGGCGGCTCCGCTCCCGCGCCCTCCTAGTCTGGGCCTGCGCCTCACCGCCTCCCGGCGCACGCGCTTGCCGTCCGGCCGCCCGCCGCGGCGCCTTCCTCCGCGCTCTTGTCGCCCGCCGTCTTCTCCGCGGGGGTGGCGGCGGTGGCGGCGGCCTGGCTGCGGCAGGGGTCGGGGCGGCCGCCTTTTCGCCCGCCTTGGCGCGCGGCGTCCCGGGGGGCGCGGCGCCTCCCGTGCGCAGGAGGTAGGCCGCGTAGCTCTTGTAGTGCGGTGCCGTCTGGCAGTGCGCCAGCGCCTCTTTGTGCTGGAAGAAGAAGCGGTTGCACACGTCGCACGTGTAACCCAGCACCTTTTTCAGCAGGTGGGTGCCGTAGCTCTTCTTGGGGTCGTAGGGCGGCACGGTCTGCCGGCCTATGGGCTTCTTGGCGCCGGCGGCTCCAGCACCCGCCGCCCCCGAGCCGCCAGCCGCCGCCTTGCCGTCGCCCGGCTCCCCGCCCGCGCCGCTCGCCGCCTTGGCGTCGTCGCCGCCTGCAGCGTCGCCCTCGCCACCCGCACTGCCGCCCTCGCCCGCGGCGGGCTCCGCGCCCTCGCCCGCCTTCTCGTCGCTGTCGTCGGCCGGCGCCGGCTCGTCCTCCACCACCATGGCCACTTCGGCCGAGTCCTTGCCCTCGTTCTTCTGCGACTCCGTCAGCTTCACCAGGTGCATGGGCGTCAGCTGGTGATGGTCCCACTCCGTGCGCGAGGGGAACTCTTGCGAGCACAGCAGGCAACGCGGGTGCAGGAAGTTCTTCAGGTTCTGGTGCAGCCCGTTCTTGCGGTGGCCCATTATGTTGCCGAAGAAGTACAGATCGCACATTGTGCAGTATTCACGGGGTTTGATGTTAACCTGCGAATGGACACAATACATCAGGCCCAGCGCTCGAAACCATCAGGCCCAACGCTTGACGGCGAAGAGACGCCCAAATGCAGAGGAGGTGGAGGTGCAATACGGAAGAGTCCCCAAACCCCGTATTAGACCATTCGGCTAATATACTGAAATTAGGAAGCCTTTAGAAATGAGCATGGTCGTCTACTGCATAATATAATCCAATAGAAAAGTTGCTGAATGAATATTAATACAGAAACGAGAACAGTGATTTGGAAGGAGCACAAAGAATGCAATGAAATAATATCACCCAAACTGATCTGTATGGTTAATGTATAAATATTTCTCAACAACCTAGCATCTTCAGAACTAACTGATCAACAGCAAATATCTGCCAGTATTTTGTGGAATTCAATCTTCCCTACTGATGTCAATAATGAGTAATTTCACTGTTCTCTTGATAATACATTGCAAATTTTGTGTATGTCTTATCAGAACCTGCGAGACAGTTTTAAAACCGGAAGATAGTTATTTGCCTACCATATCTGTTCTCTAATAATACTAAATGGATATCATAAGTTCTGGATGTATGGCACACTTATGTAAGTAATTTCACTGTGACAAAAATCGCTCTTGTGTTTGAAGGTTTGTGTGTTGTAAATAACACAACGTGCAAATTTTGGCACAATTTCTGATACAGAAAAATGTATTGAAAATTAGCTTTTTATGACCTACCTTGCCACATGGTTCATGTAAAAAAGTCGCAGTATAAAAATGGCATTCTTAAAAATAATACCACCACTATAAACAAAACAAAGACTGCTTCAATAAATGTAAAATGCATTGAAATCAGCTTTGCAAATGTTTTCCAGACTTTTGCTTCTCTCTTTGGATACAATAATAACCAATTATGTGAACATTTTTTGACATTCATTGATGCCAAACCTAATTGCGGGCCTGTTTGGTAAGAAACTTACAAAAAGGATTTACATTTATTTCAAACATTGGCTAACTTGTACTTAATCATTTTATTCGCAGAGTTTGGCACTAACGAAAATACTTGTATTTAAAATATGTAATTTCAATACTTTTGTAATTTGTATTTTGTACCAAAAATGTATATTTGAACATGTATTTTAGATTTGTATTGAAACTACTTTTTCAGGGTATTTTGTATTTTGACAATACAAAAATACATTTTATTGATTGGCTGTTGAAAATTTGAATTTAAATATACAAACATGGAAAACACAAATATAAATAACATGAATTTTTGATATTTCAAAGCAATTTTTTTTCTTTTCAACAGTATTTCAAATAAGTTTATAACTCAAACTTTTGGTTAATGTAAGAAAATTTATTTCCAGACACACTTGAAATTGATTAATGGACTTCAGAGATCACTTTACAGATGTTATATTATATTATCACATTATGCATCACCACCTGTCTGGAATATGGTTGTGCATGCGCACTGGTTAAAAGTTTGTACTTTGTGTTATGTAAAACGTTAATCTTACGACACAAGTGAAATTGATAAATTATCAAAATGTGCTATTCTAGATGGAACTAGTTCACTGTTATTAAAGACTTAGGTTCCAAGAATGCAATCACAAATTTTAAGAGACAATTAAAGATAAAAATAATAAGCAGTAATTTTATAAATTTTAAATGCATACAATGGTGCAAAATCCTTTTATGGAAGTATTTTGTATTTCGAATCTAAAATACTTCCAATAAAGCATTTTGTATCTGAAATACATTTTTGAAGTATTTTGCCTAACTCTGATTACTCATTCTTGTCATTCTGCTAACTGGAGAACGATCCCATTATATCAATGTATTTAAGTAACTACAAGTAGGATACAAAAAAGTTCACTTTAAAACTTCCTTTAAAAAAATTATTATTTACATTTATGAATGTGTTAATTTTTTCTTGAGTTGTATTAAAAGCATAATGAAAGTCAACAAAGCAAGCTCATTAAAATTCAGGATTTATGGCCTGTCCACTTACATCCCTTTGATGACTTAATTCTCATGTGCATATTCTCATCTGCTTACTGACATGATTTGTATGAATCCCTATATTATTATTTACTTATAATGATGTTGGAGCAATTTAAATTACTAATGAAAACTATCCTTTACTTCCTACTATGCAGACTGAAGTGACACTGAGGGATTAACAGCCAGCACTCAGACCCTGTGGATGATGCTAGAATACATTTCCACAAGTGATGCAACCTTTAGCAATGCTTGAGTGTTTTAGACACAGTCACAGAAAGTTGCCTAGTGGCCAGAACGTAAATACTTGCCTGAAACAGCACTCACAAAATGCCAAAATTTCAATACACAAATGCATATAGTTATAAACATCAGACAACGGTTTTTATTTCATAAGAATGCGTGGCTTTTTTAAATCTGTGAATTGACATGTTCTTCTCAGTGAGATATTGAGTCAGCAGAATCACAACCCAATAGATCGCCATGCGCTGAAATACTTTATATTTCCACTTACTGGTGAAGAGCAAGTTTCTTTACGATTTATTGATTTGTGATTTTGGGTACGTCAACTGCTATGGCCGCTATTCCTGTAGTGTAGTGTTGGTTCTATCGCGGGAGGCGGCAGTGAACTCCACTCGCTAAAGGGAGAATCAAGCATCGACCTATCATTGGCTTGCGGGGATATTCCCCAACCAGCTAACTCACATCAGTGAGGCACCACCCCAACCGGGACAAACTCGGGCTCCCGACTGGTCCTCCAACAAGCCTGGTAGTGTAGTGCAGGTGATTGTAAGTGTGTGCAAGTTAAGAGGTGATAGGACAAGGAAGGGGAAGGTAGGTTCGTGTGTGTTTTGTACCCAGTTTGTAGGGTCCTTCTCTTCCTCAATCAGAGAATCCAGTGAAACTACTGATCAAAGCAGCTGGGCACTAGAATTCTTTTTGTAAAAAAAAGGTTGGTTTAATTATTGTAAACACAAGGCTTTCATTCAGTAAAACAACTTTCTAAAACATGATCACCACAGGGCTTACATTAGGTTTAACTACTCTTTGAAGCATTCACCTATTTGCACATTTATTACGGATCTCCAAAATTTTCTTTTCAGAAAACTATTCAATGTTTTAACCGATACAGTAGAACCCTGGTAATTAGATCTAATTGGGATATGGTCTATTTCAATCTTGAAATGTTTAGATTATCCAAAAATAATGTACCCTACATATACAAATATATGCGGAAGATTACCAGACAATGCAATGTAGCGTGCAATGAGAGAAAGTGTCAATGTATCGAAGTGATCACATCATTCCATCGCATCAAGCAGATTCAGTTCCTTACAGTGAAAGAAGATCACCAACTTTGCAAGTTCCTCTATGTGAAAATTATTGCTACAATAAACTTGTGCACACCGTAGTTGCTAGTGTAATAAAAGTTTCATTATGACAACTTGTGTTTCAATAATTATTCATTCAGTTCTACAATAATTATAAAATACTTTCTTTAAACTACAAATAAGCATTTCATTTATTTAGTTTATTTTTTCTCCACATTGAATTTTGTTTAGATTATCCGAAATTTCGGATTAGCAGGATTTGAATTAGTGAAGTTCCACTACACGTTATTGGATTATTGGGCATTGAAACTGAAAATCACAATTGTTTTTGTTTGGTAGGTACAATTTTGTTGCAACTGCCTATGAGATGCCAAGCGCACGGGACAGCCAGTTTAAAAACCAACTGAAGAAATGGTGAACAAAATTCATGATACTGTGATGAAACAGACAAGTTAAAAAAAGAAGGGAGCTAGCCCAAACCACCAATCTCTCATATGAATGGGTAACCTATATTTTGCACAAAAATTAGCCATCAGTCAGATTTGTTACTGATCAATAAGCTGCGGATTTATAGGCATGAAAAACTAAAAATAGACAGGCAAAACAGACTTTTAGAAGTATAAAATAGGCATTTCAATAAGCACTATATAATATTTTTCTTAACCTTATTCAAGTACTTTTGTAGAAAGTTTCTGAAGTACACATATTACAGTTACCTTCATGGAATGTTTCATTGTTATAACAAATCCCCGTAGAAATCCTTTCTTTCGTTGTTGGGCAATTCGAACAAAAAAGGCTGAATTGCAGCAGCTGCACTTTCATTTAATGCAAACTGATATTCTTAATGCTGCACAGAATGATTATTTTTCTCACATTTAATTTAATCATACTAAATGAAAATTTAAAAAAATTGTATGATTTGTTTTAATCACCATGCATAACAAATGCTGTAACTAGGTGTTAACAGCACATACTTTCTCACACATCAAAAAAATATTTCAAAATTTGCAATTTTCAAAAATTAAGATAGTCAATGAAAATTAGACCTTTGCCATTCTTTTAAGCATCTGTTGTTCTACCTTTAAAATTCGCATAATATTTTCCTGTTTCAAAATGATTAAGTAAACTAAAAGATTATGTTTTCTACTGAAGGAAAAAATTGGCGAAAATCCGCAACTTACTGATCACCTTTACAAATGGATTTGTATGACCATTATACACCAGAATTGATTATGTTCATGTGCAATGAAAATTAAGTTTTTGCAGTGTTTGGATAATGGATAAAACATGGATCCATTATTTTCAACTTGGGACCACAGAATAATCCCAACATTGAATGTGTCCTCCAAAAGAACACAAAAATAATTAATAAATGAAACGAATGAATGGTGCATAAATATTGTGAAAAAGTTTGTAATTATTCTATTGTGATTATAGTCAATATAATGAGAATAGTCAATTTTTTTAAAGTTATTACTGTATAAATGCTCACATATTTCGTAGATTATTAGGGCATATATTTTTGGTCTACTTATTAGACCCCTCCAAACATCCCAATTGCCTGTAAAATTTGCTTAACTTTACAAAGAACCTTGTCATTCCAAGGCTGTGAGAAATCCCACTTAGACTAAAATGCGACCAACCATATCATTCTTAAGTGACTCCATCTCATTTGGAGGTCAATGTTAACTGACATGCTCCACGTTTTTGTCAAGCGGTGATAAGAAAATCAGATTAGCAAAACAGAGACCACAAAGAATGTTAGAACCATTAAAGCTGGTTACCAAAATTTCTTTTTTTACAAAATGAATGAAACATTGAAAAACTTACCTTCTTCCCAAAACGCTGTACACGTTCCATTTCTATCTCACGTTTTTCTTCAGCTAATTTTAACTCTTGGCGCATCAATTTCACTTGCACTTTATAGGTCTTCTCAGTTTGATCCATCATCATCTGATGGCTTTTCCCCCGTAAGTGGTTTTCAAATGACTGCCCATCCCACATATTCTTGTTGCAGATGTGGCACACCAACAACTCTTTGGGGATATTTGCATAACGGGATGCATCCGAGTCCTTCCCGGCTCCGCCTTTGGCAGGTGAACTGCCCTCCTTAGTAGTTGCCCCCTTACCACCTTTGCTTCCAGCTTCTTTATCATCCTTATCTTCTTGCTCATCCTCAACATCCATTGATGCATCCTTCTTGTTCTTCTCATCCTTCCAATCACGTTTCTTTCCCTCCTCTGCTTCCTCATCCTCTTCTTCCTCCTTTGTATCATTTTTACTGACTTCAGAATCATCTTTCTTTGCTTCATTCTCAGCCTTTATAGGACTAGTCTTCTCTGACTCTGCCTTTTTTTCACCAGAAGAAGACTTGTTGGGGGTACTTCCACCAGATTTACGTTGAGTTCTTTGTTGCCCACCTGCTACACCCCCTCTCTTATTTATGGGAGCATTTGGTCGCATCCTATTACCTCCACGCTGCTGCTTATTGTAATTGTCAGGGAATCTGTTACCGCGACCCCTTTGTTGACGCATTGGTCCACCACCTTTCATGTTCTGAAACAACAAAAGCATTTGCACTACCAAAACAAAAAGAACATTTTTTTTTTTTTGGTTTAATATATGGTTTATAATGGTTTAATAAAACTAAGGGAGGAAAAGAAGTTGATCATTTAAAAGAGTTTTTTAAAAAACTATGTCCATCCGTTTGGCAGTAGAGAAGGAATTTCTATTAAGATTTCATTTAATATATTATAACAACAAAACTGATTTTAAAAAAACTTGCATAGAAACTATATGTATGAAAGGTGTTTACAACAAAAAACATGTGAATCCTTAGTGTGATGTAACAGTCTCAGCCAGTCAATTGCCCTCATTCACACACTTTCTCAAACTTCTTTTTTCTCCTGAACTTGCACAACACGAAAATGTGATAACATCAATTTTTACACAATTTGTCAGGAAACCTCAAAAAACATTCAACTCACATTGTTGGACAGAGAAATATAGTTGCTATATTTCTGATTAAGAAATAAATATATACAGTTTAAAGGGAAAAAATAATGCATCTATTCCTCAAACTATATCTGAACAGAGCATCAATATACAATAAGATTTTTATAATTCTCGCTTGTGTTATTCAATGTAGCAAGGACCTGGAAATCAGATCAGGTGGGTTCGACAGAGAGCACTGGTGTATGAACCAGCTTTCTGACTATGTTTTTCGGTGCGTGTGCGTGTGCGTGTGTGTGTGTGTGTGCGTGCATGCTTTTTGTATATCCTATAATCTGAGTTGTTCAGTTTTTTTATTTTAATTTTGTTTTGTTTCTGTTCAATAAGAAACTTGCTGATATCAGAAAATAATCCACCTATACAAAGAATCTTTCTCCAAAATCTTTACCATGGTCTCATGCTTGAGCAGTTTGTTTCCGACATTTCTAACAATGAAAAACTTCAAATAACAAAGAACAAAGGATGAGAACATTTATCTAATGAACACACCTAATATATGAATCCTTACAATCTAACAAGCAAGATTAACTCACATCTGGGCGTGGAAAAAAGCCTCGCCCAGGAGGTGTAGCATTCATGCTGAGCAAGGGCTGCGGCCCAGGAGGTACTCGGGGCTGTGGCATAGGTGCAGCCTGCTGTTGCTGCTGCCCCAGCAAAGAGGTAAGGAGGTTGCTCGCAAGAGCAAGCTGTGCCTCTGGTGTTGATAGCTGAGACAGTAGATTCAGAGGCTGTGGCGCAGCACCCAGAATACCTGCTGAGGCCGGACGGCCCTGACCCGGCACAACGCCACCTTCCCAAGGGCTCACGGGACCTCCAGGGCCCCCAGGTCGCCCACCAAACATGCGGCGATTGTGTGACATTGTGGAGTGGCACTACAAAACTGAAACAAATCAAAAAAATGAAAGGATACACTTACTAGTAAATAAATTACATTTCCTTCAAAATGTACTAATTTATTTATTCATTTGGCCGTTAACAATCTTAAAAGATTTAGAAGCGTTTTTTAAAAAACATTGAAAAGGTCAGGAGGGGGGAGGGGGGCTTCATGTTAAGTAAACCCAAATTTTTAAGGTTTTCAAAATCGCGGCGCCACAAATGAAGAAAGATAGACTGCGGAAATCCCCATTTGAAAAAAAATCGTACGTTAGGTTTCCGCGAGAGTGGTGTTCACAGACTGACGTACGGACAGAAAGACGGGAAGGAAGTTTTGAAAATAAACACTTTTCGGAATCAGGAGACCCCAAAACTTATTTCTGTTGAAATCTCGTAATCGTTTTTCCGCAGCATTACTTCGCATATACGTATGTATACGGGAAAGTAAGGAGTGGTGCTACAGCATGGCACACACTTTCTCGTATTAGTTTTCTAATTCCATTGGTCTCTGTTAGCTATTCGGACTTGCCACACTCTTGTCAGCTGACTTCCATCGCCGCCGAAGGTACATTTTCTCCCCTCAATTTTACGGTTTCCTAATAGTAAACAATAAAATCTCGACCTAAATGATAATTTTCTTTGAAAAAATTGGAGCCATTTTAAGAAAATCGTGTTTAAGCACTACTGTAAATTCGAAATTTGAAGCTCTTTCACAGAAACATCGAGTTTTCGAAAAGCTGAATTAGTAAGTACCTTAAATCACAATAGGGTTTACAATTTGCTGTAAAATAAATGAACAGCGTGAGTGATCTTTCAAAATTACATTTGCGTTTGAGCGTTTCTGAAAATGCGGAATTTTGAGCTAGTTTTCAAAGAAAACGGGTTTGAGTTTTCGAGAAACTGTATGACAAAGTCTATGTACTCAAATCCAATAACGTGAACAAATTGCCGCTAATGTAAATATTAACGACGTGAGAGACGAGTTAAAAATTGGTTTTTGTAAATTTTGCAAAAACAAAATAAGAGACATGAATGTCACCTCAGATTACATTTCACCCTACCTCAACCAAAGGTTTGAAGGGAAAATTTGGAGGCCTTTGACAAAATCTTGTTTTTTTTAAATTGCACATATTGCACACAATATAGCGCGAAAACTACTAGAACTCAAAAAACGTACATTACCTTAATGAAAGAATACACTATGGAGAATAACTTATTTGAAGGAAAAATCTATCTTCAATTTGAAGTTGTAAAAATACGCAGGAGAAAAATCATTTTTTTCGAAAATCCAGAGTTAACTCTGAAAATCGGACCTTTGCCTCCTTTACAGTGTACGTTACTGTATTTTTACAGGAAATTTAAAGAAAAGATTTTGAATATCCGCGAAGCTACGTGTAAAACACTCCCAAAAATTAATGAACGCTTTTCAAAATCGCAGAGCTTCCACTCAGGCCAGATCGACATGGGTTTGTTCACTTTGGAAAAAATCGCACGGAATATTTTATTTAGGTGCTAGTGTTGTTCTTATACAGACAGACGGACCTTTTGGAGAAAGAAAAGACTTCGGTATCAGGAGAACCCAAAACTCATTTCCGTTGAAATCTGAAGATCGATTTTCCGCGCCATTACATAACTTTTCCTGTAATATGACCCAAAATTACTATTCGTTTTCCCCCTTGGCAGAGTAGTGCATAAGTGGAGGGGGTAAAAGTATATCCCCAAAAAGTTTTTTCCTTCTTGCGGTTTTACGGTTATATCTCGTGAAGTACTCACAGTATCGAAAACTTGGTCCTATTAAAAGTTGTGGGGCCAAAAATTCTGCACTGAATGAAATCAGTGCTCGAAGTTGGACAAATTTTATTATTATGAAAAATTTTCGTATTAACTTCTGCTTTTTGGTAATACTTTTCTAACCCATCTATCAATGAAATGGTCTTTACAAAAATTATGGAGGAGAAAAATCCTGTGCTTAATGCGACCAAAAGTGATTTTTTGATCCATACAGTTTCACCTTAAACTTGGACTATTTCTCATCAATGAACACACTTTAAATTGCAGTTCTTCAATAAGCGTTATTTACACTATATTAAACATAGTAGTATTGCACTACTTTGTACTAGTCTTCAAATCAGTAAATACTCTTCTAGTAATGTAATAAAATATTAAAATTGTAGAATACTTAAAAAGATAATATTTAGAAAAATGGTTTCATATTCAATATGATAAGATCCATTCATTCCTTGCTTTGTGGGGTACCACAGGACCTCAGAGCAACATGAAGCAAGTTAGAGTGCTCTGTGACAATGAAGACCATCAAAACTTAATTGAGTTGTTTCAATCCCATGATTCTTTCCCTGACTGATTGTGTTTCTTGATCACAAGTATTTACAAAGATCAAGACTAGTACAATTGGAGTGCTATACTATGTTTAATACAGAGTAAATAACACTTAGAGATCTGCAGTTTTAACAGTCATTGGTGAGAAATGGTCCAACTTTGAGGTAGAACTGTACTGAAACAGGTGGTCAACTCTTTTGGTCTAATTATATGTAATTTATTCCTCTACAACTTTTGTAAGTACCACTTTATTGATAGATGGGTTAGTTTAGATATGCCCAAAAAGCAGAAGTTATAATGAACATTTTTCATAACATGTTAAATTTGTATTGAGAAATTTGTAAGCACTGGTATCGAAATGGGCAGGGAAAAAAATATGAGTCTACAGAATTGCAAAATTTAATGTCCTACAACCTTTAATAGGACTTTTTTGATATTGTGAGTTTCCCTGTAGAACTGCAAAAATACACCTTATGAGTGTTCATTTTAATCCCCCAACATTTTAGCACAACTCCAAGGGGGAAAACCTACAATAGTCATATTGGTTTTATTCTCGTGGACTCCTATGGAAACCCTTTCTGGATGAACTTAATACATACAACTTTCATAAAGCATGGCCACTTTTCCTAAGAACAAATTTCTTCATCTTTTCCCTGTTTAGCAGAACAATTTTATTTTTCCCTGATAAACTAACTATTTCAAACTGAAGAAAACAATAAATAAAAATGTGTTCCTTTTACTAATTAGTCAGTGCTTTGATTGCTCAGTCAAAAATACTATTACTTTTCCAATAAGTTCTCTTGTTGGAAAAATCTTTATCAAACATTATTAGTAATCACTGCCAAAAATCTTAATGTATGCTGCATTTGTCTTTCAGTGCATGAACAGTATTATTACATCAACTTTCGATCGGAAAATACTTTTCAGTTCTATTCCTCTATAAAACAACTTGCAAAACTCATTAGGGAATGAAGAAAATACATACACATTATCAGTAGGAGTGGCATTTCACGTCATGTGAAGTTCATTTCAAAATTTAAAGAAATATTTTGAAATTCAACAGCTATTCCTTCATGTGATATTTGCTTTCAGAAACAGAAACACAGTATTTGTTGCACCCACATGAAGCAACAAAGGATTCATCAATTTGCAGATATTGTAAAAGAATGCCAGAAGACCTTGTCAAGTGGAAGGAACTCACATATTTTATTCTAATTTCTTGGCATTTCTGCCTCTTCAATGAAAATAGACAAATTGTATGTTTATGTATTAGAATGTATCAATTATGCAATCTGAATTTAATCAGTGGTAAAAAGTTGTAATTTTTAAGGTCTATGCCTATGCGCCTGATAAAAACTTGAAAAAAAGTTGAAACATTCTATAACAATTTGTGTAACAGTGTTAATCTAGAGAATTTTGTAATATTCAAGTACTTACTACAATCATAACATGTCTAATTTTTCACATTTGAAATTTTTCTTAAGAGTGAAATACTACAACTAACAAAAAACTGAATCTTCCACAGTACCGATGCGTACAACTTCATATGGCTTAAATACTCCCAATTACAAGACATTCTAGACGAGTTCATTTTCCCCATATTTTAACGAATCGAGTTCAGCTTCAATAGTTCTTAAAACAAAATTAAAATTCACACATTAGAATATGTGTTGTTTTAAAGAAATTTGTTTTAGGCATTTAGTTTGTAGTTAAATTAAGTAAATCAGAACAAGACCTAATCACCCCACAATTCTACAATTCAGAAGGAAATATTTATAACATCACTCTACAACATATCTACCTCATATCTCAAGGTACTTCCATTTTATTTATTAACACTTTTGCAAGAATAGTACATTTTTACAAACATTTCACCAAGTTATTGAAAGTAATATTATTAACCGTGAATCTTATCTCTTTATAATTAGATAAAAACGTTTACAATGCAAGATTTGCTTTTCGAGACCACTTCTACTATATAGTTTCTTACCAAAGTTTCATTTAGAGATCATATTATATTTAAAGGGGTTTCGTAAATTATTTGAATAATTACCAAATATTAAAACAGTATAACATCTAGAAAATAATTCCTTTCCCTAGCAAAATCTCACAATGAGAACCATTTCATTATTTGATTTTCGCGTTATTCTCGTATTTACAGCAATTTGATTTGGTCGATTGACAAATTTGAATTCACCATCGGCACCGTTCATTATAAATCATGACATGTACGATGTAATTATGAACATTTCACTTAAAGGAAATTTCTTACAAGAAAACGGAAGATGTAAATGCGTTTCAAGAACTCGTAAAATGCGCAGCATTTAATTAATAAAATCTGGGGCTACAGCAAATGCAAAATCAATTATTACAGGTTTACGATCAACTGAGTATTTCGATATATAATATTCAGAAATGCGCAGGATGAATGTTTTATGTTACAAAGAAATCACGCAGCCCACAATTGGTCATACTCCATTACGACGACGGCTAGAGGATTCCGCCATTCTAAAATACGATCGTTCACACACAAAATGCAAGAATTCAAGCTTAGATTCGTAAATAAATGTAGAATTTTTAGTACTAACTTTCCATGAACGAATCTCTACGAAAGGAGTAATTTAAACTTGTAATAGCAATATACTTTTCTAAACTAAGCTATGCACCGGCACCGGGGCACATTAGACAACGAAATTCTCCTCCCACAACATTATTCTATACTCACTCATGTTAATTTTTCTACACTTACCTCGACTAGAAAATCAAGTGCGATCTCTTGTCTGGAAGAAACAAACTTTATTCTTCCAGACGGAAAATCTACGTCAGAAAAGACCCAACGAGACAACCACTATCACGCACTTTCATCGACAAACAATCTGCATAGAGTTTACACCAGTACACAACCCGACGAATCCACCAGGAATCCACATAATGATCAAAAATCTGCGTGCGTACGTGCTTACGTCATGCAATTCACAGAATAAATAATTAAACGCGGGAGAACTACCAGCGCTCTTTGGAATACTATTTTCTCAAGAGGGCACCGGAATCTTTGAAGAAAGTCACAGGAGAAACAATGCTTAGAAGATTCAATTTCTAACATTTATTTCCGAAGTAATTCATCGATTCTCCAAAGATGTAATGAATACATGTGTAGCTAAAACGAATGGTGATAACGAATTCACTCAATTGGTGCCACAAGCCATAATATAATCAAAAGGCTCCACTACATTTAGGATCTTCCATTGAACGTTGCGAGCATAGAGATAGTAAGAGGGTAAAAGGTTGCGAGGGAAAGGGAGGATTTGGAGGGGAAAGTTTTGTCTATAAAACTTTTCAAATTACAGTTTTATAAAAAATAAATTAAAATTCTTTGTTTTGATAATATTAATTTTAATAAAAATGTATAAAAAGCAGTAGACTTGTATTAAACAATTCGCTTTTTAATTATCTGTATTGCTCACTAGGGGCGGAGTTGCGAATAGGTACAGGAGACACGAGCCTATGGCAAAAATTGTGGACTAAAATTGGGTCTAAACAGCCTCTTCTTTGTGCGTGCGATTTTTATTTTTTTATTAGTATTCTATGAGTTTTTGAACAAAATTATTAAATACTCGAAAATTAATTTATTAACAGACTGGTAATACTATCTGCTATGTATTACTTGTGATATGTCAAAATAAGCGATGTTTACATTTTTCAGAAGTCGCACAATTAAGATTTTATTGCAGTTACCGAATAGGAGTCTCCATGTTACATCGACATAAATTATATTATAATTTTTATAAATTAATCTTATACAAATACATGTAAGTTTGATAATCTGTTTAAAGATGTTTTATTTCGTACGTATTTTCTAGTATTAAATGTAGACATATACCCTAATTTTATGAAATAAAGGTGGAACAAAGATAGAGTATTAAATATACATAATTACAGAAAACATCATGAATTTGTTATTTCTATCAGGAGCGTATCCAGAGACGATTTTTTTGAGGGGGAATTTGTATGTCTTTATATACATATATGTATTAATGCAGTAAAAGTGTGCAGTTTTGTGAACGTACGGAAAGTGCAATGTACGTTCACGCCACCGCGGTATGACCATTCCTACCCTTACGGGCATCTATGGTCAATCCTACAACATGAAGAAAAACAGAAGGTCAAAAAAATGACTTTAGCCTACCAGCGCGCGCATTGCGTGTTTTGAAATACTACGTTTATGCTTCAGGCTCATTTCTCTGTTTCTTACTTCAGGAAGTGCGTCGGTCACCTATACTTTGCCCTTTGGTCGGGTTGGTATGAGGCGCTCTCGGAAATGAGATCATTCTCCGAGTCAGCTGCTTTTTAAAATAAATTTTTAACTATATTTTTGATATGATTTTTCAGCAGTGGCATTGATGATTCGCGATGTAGAGTTTCTATACGAGTGTATCTAGTGGCGCAGAGGGCAGCCCTGAGATACTCGTTTTGAATATGTATATATTTTGGTGGCGCTATCCCCGTCTTATAGAATCAAAAGGCTCCTAATGGGGTATCGCAAACGAATGCTCGATGCGAGCTTTATATTTACCTCAGGGTGGCAAGATCTGAGCACACAGTACAAATATACTACGTGTACCAGTGCGCACTGGGCTACGCAGAAAGCCCGGCCGGGTATTAACTATAGAGCACAAATATACTGAATATATTGTGTATAAATGTATTGTACTTATCCTCTATGGGTGTAAAAAAGAAGTCCAAGACGCGTAAATAAAAGACACTTGGTGCATACATGTATTCTTGAACTCAATGGCCATACAATACACACAAAATCAAAATGAAGCAAACCAGCACGGAAGAAATAACGCTTGATTGTTCCAGTTCGATTCACGAACTGCACCTTAGAGTTCTGCTCTATAGCAATTAGTTAATAATATGTAGAGTGTTCTTAGAATTTGCTTACTAAGAGTTAACAAAAACGTTTTAAGACCCATTTTCTTGCATCGTGCACGGTCAATGCCTGATTGAAACATGCGCCAACGTTTGCTTTATCAGCGACTTGGAAATACCACACTCGAGGTCATAAAATAATCTGAAAAGACAGGAGACCAAATAGGGGAGAATTGGCAGCTTCAACAAAGCAGAAAGGAGAAAAATATACAAAAGAAGCCAGGATCTAAGACAACAGTCAGGAAAGTCAATCCAGATATTGTTGTATCCTTGATTGTTATTGGATTGCTAATCACTTAGTTGCAAGAGACATTGTTATTGGATTGCTCCACCGAAATAATAAAATTAGTGGTACAAGTATATCCAGAATGTCTAAAATAGATGCCTTAAGGATGGGACATTTTACAAGAACTGGAAGAAACAAAAGCTGATATTCCTTCGGAAGGGCAAGAAACCGTTGGAACAGACATCGTCGTATAGACCACTTTGCCTCCCTGAGTTGCAATAAGGCTAATACTTTCAAGACTTGAGGAATATATAAGCTTTTCTCATAGACAATATGGATTTCACAAAGGCTGTTCGACGACCGATGCGATTTTAGAAGTAGTTCGCATCGCAGATGCAGCTAGAAATGGAACTGGGAGGAAGAAGGGATTCTGCCCACTTGATATTAGAAATGTCTTCAACTCAGCCAGGTGGAAGGACGCCATGGAAGCATTGGTTGACAGAGGGAATTCTGAATATTTATTAAGGATCATCGAGGACTACCTTCATGAAAGGAAGATAATTTATATGGATACCATCAAGATTGAAGATTGATTTGACGTGCGGAGTTCCACAAGGGTGCAGGCTTTGCCCCTTTTTATGGAATGTCCTGTATGATGGCATATTGAGTCCTTTCAAGAAATACGCAGATTACAGGATACGCGAATGATATACTAATAATAGGTCATAGTGACGATATTGAGGTGCTTGAACTAAGAGTGAATGAAGCACTCTACAGAGTTAAAAATGGCTACACAGAAGACTTCAGATAACAGTAGGAAAAACTGAAGCTGTATTAATTACCGATCGGAGGGCATTTCGCTTTCCAGATATCCGACTGGAAGCACCAAATAACATATCTAGGAGTTGAGATAGACCGCAGACTTAAGTTTGGGCCACACAAGTGTGATGGCAGAAAAGGCAGCGGACAGGATCCAACTTTGCAAGAATACTACCGAATGTAGGTAGACCACGGGAAGCCAAGAGAAGATTGATATCCGCAGTAGTTCATTCACAATTGTTGTATGCAGCACCAGTCTGGATGAGTTCATTGGAAAAACAGGTTATGAGAAATAAGTATGCTCAAGTGCAAATCGAATGGCCCTGAGAGTGGCGGCTGACTACCGTACGGTGTAACTTGCGCAGAGCTAGTATTGGTCAGTATCCCGCCCATCGATCTGATAGCCATGGAAAGGAAAAGGACAGGAAGTTCGACAAGTAAACAGTCATCTCTCTCTCTCTGAAGAAAATATAGAATATTAAGAGTGATGCTAGGAAATTACTTTTTGAAGAGTGGCAAAGAAGGTGGAATGTGGCCGCTAAAGGTAGATGAATACATCGGATAATTAATAACATTGATGGGTCGATCGAAAGTATGGGTTGACGAATTATTACTTATCCCAGGCTTTTAAGGGACACGGTGGCTTTGGTAAATACCTTTATGATTACAAGATTAAAGAAAGTCCGACATGTAACATGTCGAAAAGAGGTAGAGCATACACTGTTCCAGTGCAAGGCAGGGGATGCGGAAAAGGAGATTTGTAACGTTAAGCTTCAACAAGTGACAACTCCGGAAAAATGGTGGACATGATGTTGAGTTCGGAGGGGAGGTGGACCATAATAGAGAACTACTTAGTTATCATCACAAAGGAAAAGAAGCGGAGGAGTTAAAGCACTAGCTTCCAGTCAATCGCGAAGTAATGTCTGATGACGGCTTCCACCTGGCAGAAATCACGACTTAGGAGATGAAGGTTTAGGGTTTTAGTCGATTAACCAAGAACGGGAGTCCGACAGTACTGGCTTCACCGGTCTCCATAAAATATTTCCCTCTTGTAAAATAATAATAATAATAATGGTGCCCAGGGTACGATGTGCCAGACAAAAACCTTTCGCACCCAACTCCAGTCTCACCCTTCACGCGGGGAGCCCCGTTAAGTCGGGAACCCCCACTCCAAGGTTGCGGTAACCAGCCCCTTCGGCGGAGTGGTCCGGCGAACATATGAGACTCTCGATAGGGCTACTAGAGTAACTCTGGGAAAGGTATATCAGGATGGTGTAGGTCACCCAACTGGACCTAGAGAGGCGGTGGAAGAACCACTGGAATGGTCAACAGTGGCTCTCTTAGCCTACAAGGTTACAGTTGAACCGCAGGGGAGGATTTTACCTCTCGTGCCTGGCTGACGCGCGGACCAAATCCATAAATACCAGAGATTCTTCGACTGGTGTTTATTACCGGGAAGCCAGAGAAAATGTTTATGAGCAGGCTATTGTAACCCCTCACACTTGCCGAATGTGTGTGTGTATGTGTGTGTGTGTGTGTGTGGCTTCTGGAGCGGGAATGTTTTTTTCTTCCAATAATAATCATGACACTTTGGTAAACAAACATTTAATGCCTAAATGATGGAGTGATGATGGGTGATTTACAAATTATCTACAATTATGACAAGTGCAACCTTTTTATAGTTAAATTTACTCATTAGTTTGGATCGATAAAATTGCAATTCAGTTAATAGGCTGTTATTAATATTCTGCTGATGGCACCTTCACTCAAGCTTTGCTCAAAGAAATGTTCATCCGCATTCTAGCGGGAGCAAAGCGAATGATTACTCTTTCGTCGTTGTCGGCGGGCATCACAGCACGCCCAGTGGTGGGGTTGTTGACCGGCGTCAAGGGTGGGCCGCCCCAGACAGCTGCGGAGAACCGCGGCTGCACCTCAACGTGGCCGTTTAGCGTTGCCGCTCTCTCAGGCCGAACCCATGGATGACGTCAACCTCCAGGCAGCTACAGCT